GCATTTTTTGAGGGGGGGGGGTGTAAGAGTTTTACAGCACTTGCAACACAATAAGGCCATATAGGTGCTGAAGATTAGAAGTGTAACAAGAAAGTAACAAACACAAAGAAGGAGGAGAAATAAGGATGATAGATGTTTGACAAGAAAGAAAGAGCAAACCACACCAGAGCACCTGCCAACCACCCGCAAACATTGAAGAGTACACAAGAACTTTATGAAAGGAGACAACAAGCTCGGTGCTCAACAATATCCACAGCAGGTACCAAGGCAACGGATCCACATTCAGGGTAAACAAAGAGATGGAAGAAAATTGAATTAAACCCTTTTTGCAGTTGTTTAAAAAATAATAGTGTTTGAAATGTTATGATCAACAAATTCTCTAAATAATTCTTTGACTGAACTTCTTTTTAAAAAAAAAGGGGGGGGGGGATATTTTCATAAGAAAAACAAACAGCTATTGATAAACTAAACAGTTCAATGCTTTCCCAGTTCAAGACCTTTATCAGGGCATGAAATAGAGACACTATTTCTATTAGCAGTTTCACACCAAACTATCAAAATATGAAAAACAAACACCTGAGTCAACTTTTCCAACCAGCAAGTGTATTTTGTAGTCTTGTCCAGAATTCCATCAAAAAAATCTTAGTTCAGGTTGAGAATTTCAAGTACTTTCTTTTTCAGCATTGTCACTTTTCCTTTTTTACATCATTGCGTAACATAATTGACATTAAATTTAAGATTATAGAATAAAAAGTCGCGTCAGTTCGTACCTGTTTGAGAAGCCACAAGTGATGAGGAGATTGTCATGGATATCAAAGTCAGACAAACAGCTGCTGTGAGCATCCAAAGTGTGCTCGGGTCGCATCGTCTTTGAATCATACACTGTCACCTGAAAGTAAAAAAAACAGGAAAAACCTGAAGTAGCCGCTAAAATCATGAAATGTAGATGAGCTAGCAGTTAACACTAAGACTAACACGGATGTCATTTCCTACATCAGAACATCATCATCGCCAACATAAATAATCATCCTCATGCTCACCATCACAATTACCATTACCGTCACCATCGCCAACAACATCATCATCAGCATTATCATCATAATCATCATCATTACCCACTCAACAATTCCCCTTTCATATAACAATCTGCACCATTACTTTCTTTTTACTACGTAACCAACAAAAACGGGCACCAAAATCAGGACACGAGGGGAAAAAAAAAAAAGAGATGAGCTAGCAGAAAGCTAAAAAAATTGGAAGTCAGATAAATCCTAAAAATGTTTCATATTAACTGACCTTGTACATACTGAAGGCCATATTTTTACGCAGTTTACTTTTAACAAAAAGAAGAGAAAATACGAACATAAAATCAGTTTTGGAGTAAATTTTTAAAAATTAACAAATTTAAAAAATAATAAATCAACCCACCATGGTAAGTACACAAAGATATCAAGACACAAAGCAAATTGTTATAGCATAATATTTTACCAGTGTGTGACGCATTTACGTATCAAATCCCTGCAAAATTCCTAAAATCAAGTTTACTTGGAGGTACATATAACTCTCTGAAATTAGTGTATGGTGTCAAAAAGAAGTCTGAAAAAATTCGTTAACGGGTTTCTAGTTCGTTTCCTTCAATAACCAAAGCAAATAGGCCACTGTGACACGTCTCTATAACCCTCTTCTGTCCACTCTTCAGTGTACTTCCCTTACAAAATGAAATATAATATAACCTAACCGATCAAATACAAACAAATCTACAATTCTGAAAACTGACCTTTCCTGTGCTGTCACCTCCACAAATGAATCTGTCTGTGTGGCGGAAGATGGCAATACCAGCATCCTTCACTTCGTACTGTGAAGAAGATTTAAAAAGAAACAATATAATTACAGGTAGAAAAAAAAAAGGAGATTTCACAATCTAGTCAGAAATAGTGTGGCTACAAGGCCTATCACAACCAAGAGGATCATTTAACACTCTACAATATGAGGACAAAAAAACAAACATTCAAAAGCGAAATAAATTATACCTGCATGATGCAAAACCAGCTAACTTTTAAACAGCTATCCCTAAAACAAAAACTATACTTTTTCTTCAGTCCTTGTACACTCTCATTTCTTCTATCCAATAAAACATGCCATAAAACTATTTCTTAACCTCTACCTTCAAAAATTAAGCTGCATGTGCAGGGCAAAACATGAAACTAGCTTTATACTTTCAGTATTTCTTCATAAAGACCAAGTAGGCACTGCTGCACACATTCACTACACTCAAATGTTCAAGCTGTGCAGTTAAACCCTCCAAAACCCCAAACTGCAAGGTCGTGCTTTCTCTTTCAGGATAAAAAAGAACTGAAATCTTTCTAAAGATTTACTTAATAGGCCCCCATACTCATGTATCTTTTTCAAAATATTAGCTGCATTATTTGAATTCGTTGGGACTGGCCTCGGTAGTTTGAGGGATCCGTAGTTCGGGGAATATCTTACAAAGACAAAGTAGAAAAAAAAGAACGGACCGCAGGCACAGTTCAACGGATGCGAGTTTTCTGTGTTCTACCTATGCGTGTTATACTGTTAAATTAAATTGTCAAAATAAATGCCAAAATCAAAACTTCAACAGCAAAAAATTTGACAATCTGGCCAATTATCCATCAACTGAAGTAAAAGTTCAAACACACACTTGACCAACTTACAACATTGCTCAGGCAGTTGCGTATGATGTCCACTTCGAGCACCTGCTTGTGATGACCACCGATGAGCACCGACTCGTTGCCCCGCATCATCATACACTGCATGTCATGCAGGTGAGCATCTCTGAACAAGTAGAAACAATTGTTAAAGTGAGTGCAATTTTAAGTGTTTTGCTTCCTCATCTACCTAATCTTAGACTATTTAGGCGGACTGCATCAACCCTATATGTTAAGACCGGTCTGGACTGAGTGAGATGTGGCACTACAACAAACAAAATTCCTCCACTTGGAAATCAAACTCACATCTTCTGCATATGAAAGCGAACAGCCTTGTCTCTTCACCATAGACAATTTAATGAGGTAAATGCTCAAACTTAAAGGGTTTATCCCAAGAAGTAGCACCTGGGCAACTAAACATATATTTAATACTGGCCAATCAAGTCATACTGTACCTACCTAGCTTAGCTCAGAGACATGTTTCTCATCAACATTCCGCACAGTCCGCAAATATCAGGAGGTATTTCACAAATCCTCCCCCCCCCCCCTCTCCTTACTTATGATTATAAGATAACTCAAAACAATTGAACTTTGATTCAAGAGTAGGAATCAAGACTAGGAGACATAAAATTCTTTAATAGAGCAGACATTTTGTCACCACAACACGAGTGCCCTTGTTCAATAAACATATATACATGAAAGTATGTTAAAGTGCAAATGTGCAGATGTGTGTATTGGGAAAAACTGACTTTTAAAATTACAATCTGATCAGAATCTTTTCATTGCATACTTTTAAAGAGAGGGGGCGAAAGGAACTTAGGATTTAGTGAGAAGGTCCAGAGTGACTAATGGCAGAAATGGTTTCTAAAAACTTACTTGAATGCAAACACTGGAATACCCCTGCGGAGGGTGCCCCTGAGGAGACTTGGTGTAAGGGTGAGAACACCTTGTGGGAAGGACAGATTCATCCTCACATCCTCATCTGTACTCACTCTGTAGGCAGAGTACTTTTGAAACTCCGTACCGTGATAGGAAGCCACATATCCCTGAGGACAAACAGGCAGTGGTTATTAGTTCTCTCAAATTAAAACGCAATTCAATGTAGGCAAAGTGTGACTTTTTGCAGAACTGTTAAGAACAAATAATGTAAGAAGCAGAATTAGGAAATAGGCGTCTTGGGATAGAGCTAAGAAAACAGGAGGGATGCAATCTTTAAAAGGTGAAATTCTTATTCTGTAGTTCAAAATAGGCAGCACTGCATCATCAACCTAGTGATTAAATCATTAGGTGTGGTGTGCTGTCGCATGCAGTCTGCATCAATGAATTCATGTCCATTAGACCATTCTCCTAAAACATTTCTTCCACATTCTAACAGAGCTTCAGACACTATAGGCATACACAGTTGTTTGCTAGACACAAAATCACAATTCAATTGTGCAAGACCCAAAGCCATTACCAAACCTTTATCATAATGTCATCTTTAAGACAAGTCACTGTAAAGAAATACAAAAAGAGTATCCTTAAAACAATACTTTCAAATTTCAGTAAACAACAGCGACTTTTGTAGCTGAGGTAAATTTTCAGTTCAGTTAGTTTGCTCATGACAAATGAGGAAACTGGCCTGTATGAAAATTGAGATTACAGCAGAAAATAAAAAAAGCATTATGCATTACGAATTTACCCGTTGATTTCCAGTCCAGACCAGTTCTTGGTGACCATCAAAATTGACACATGTGACGCTAGAGTGCATGACCTTGTCCATAACTTGGCATCCCATGGGGCTGTGACAACAAAAATTCAAAGCTGTGTAAATATTTCAAAACTATACAATGAAGTATTTCTCTCTATATATAAGAAACACACACATAAGTTGAAACTACCATAAAATTGCCAGTGAAAAAAAATAAATTCAAAATACAATGGAGTCTGCTTAAACCAAACACGATTAAATAAAAAAAACAAAGGAACAGAAAACTGAAAGAAAAAAAGTCCCCAATCTTTTTCCTTTCATTTAAGCAACCTCTCTAAACTGAAAACCCGGCTGAACTGAAAAAAATCTGATGATCCTGCATACTCCAAGGTACACTTTTTGTCAATAAAAAAAAAAGTATTAAAATATTCCTTACAATTTACGCTCATTAACCAACATTCTTTTCTTATTGTTATACACAGGCCATCATTCTAAAAAATAGGTAATTTTCTTAACATCTTTTATCAAAGTAACTTGGATGCACATCACATAAACAGAGAACTTTGGCAAGGAAAACCCTGATGTCTGTAACTGTAACAAGCAATGGGGATAGAATTTTTTAATTTGTATTTCTACAAATACACACAAAAAAAGTATTTTTTATTTTTATACCTGAGATTTCAAAACATTTCAATTTGCACTCAAGTACTTCAATACCCAGTGTCCTTATTATAATGATGACATAGACCAAGTTCTGACAGGAAACTGTTGAATAGTACTATAGTCTAGCCGGAAATAATTTTCTCTTGGTGCTTTAAAGTCCTGTCCATACTGCATAAAAAGCTCTGTACAGATTCCCCTCTCAACTTTCACCTTGAATCTCATCTCTCTTTTCTCTGAATCTTAACTGAGGGGCAGGAAGACTAGATCTACATATCTGTCTGCCCTCACATCAAAATAAACTTCACAGAGAAAAAGCAACTTACATGAACTCGCCGTCCCTCATTTCTGGCATTGTAGGGTCCCCAAACATCTGCATCATCTGGTGTTGAGAGTAGGCATCCCCTCCTCCCAGCATGTGGCCGTCCAGATGGCCCATCAAGCCATGATCATTCATCATGCCCTGCAAGCCCATGCTGTTGTGATCCATGTAGCCACCCATCATGTTTGACGGGTGATCTCGGTTGCCGTGGCGAAAGTCGTGGTGTGACAGGCCCTGGTCGTGTGGAACAAAGTCCGCATTCTGCCGCTGGCCCGGGTGGTACTCAGCGACCACCGAGTTCTGTTGCATGGGGTGGTGGAAATCAGGGGGCACTACTCCAGGCTGCTGCTGGGGGTGGAACTCCGGGATAGCAGAGGGCCCGCCTCCTTGGGGCCCCGGTTGGTGGAAGTCATTGGGCATGGGGCCGTGTGGGTGGGGCTGCTGGGCCTGGCCTCCCCGCGGATGAGGCTGGTGCTGGTGGTGCATCTGGTGGTGGTAGTCGAGGTGCGGCTGGGAGTGGCCCTGGTGGTAGGGCCCGCGGTGCTGAGGGGGGTGCTGATGCTGCTGTGGCGGTTGATGATTTTGACCCTGAGACGGGGGTGGCTGCTGCTGGGGGTGGAAACTCTGTGGCGGCATGTTGGGCCCTGCCTCGGGCCCCTGGCGGAATCTTTGCATATTCTGAGGAGGCCTCGATGCCATCGGGTTCCCCATGTGACCATGATAGCCAGGAGGCATGCCTGGGTTTTGCATGTGTCCAGGAGACTGGTAGCCCATGGGCATTCCCTGCTCCTGACCCGGCATGATTGGGAAGCCAGACGGCATATGTGGGTCAGTCATCGGCGGATAACCCGGAGGCATTCGAGGGGGCATTTGTTGGGCATTTTGAAACATCTGACCGCCACCCATACCTTGCTCTCTTGGCATCCCTTGAGGCTGAAAGTTAGGAGGGGGGGGCGGCGGCATGTTCTGCGGATCCTGTGGGTGAGGGGGGCGATATCCAGGCATTCCAGGGAAATCCATCTTGACCACAGGGATTTTCTTTTTCAGAACAGATTCCTAATGTGTTCTCGCCTTATTTTGCTTCAGAAGTTCACCTTAAGATCGTCTTCTGAATCATCTGTAATGAAAACAACAAACACAAATCATCATCTCCACTAGATCTAGGTAGAGTTCTAGGAATTGCTTCTGTCCTTATCAAAATTCTTTACACTCCTATAATGATCATTGATTCGTCCAACATAAAAAACAAACACATTCCAATTCTAGAAATCCCTTCAAACACTTTAAACATAAAGCTCAGCATTAAGAAATTCAATCAACATCCACGTCAGATTTATAAGCACACATTACACATTTGAACAAGACATCAGGGTACTGTCCACAAGTCAGTACTGTGTATGTTTTGTACAGACTCTTAGATCTCTTTCCCATTCAACTGCTTTCCAACATACATCAGCTTTGGCCAAACACAAATCATAAACTGTTATGTTACTCATATTTCCTGGCCCTCACAGAAAAAAACCCAATGGTAAACTACAAAAAAAAAGAAAAAAAAAGGAGGGGGGGGGGGGGGGGGGGGGGGAGTTCATGAACAGACATCACTGAAAAGTCAACTATCTCAATTTGACAAAGAGTCACCAACAGACCTCCTCACAAAAAAAACAACAAAAACACAAACAAACAACAAAAAAACCCTGAACACAAACATTTGTCTGAACAGGAGAAACAATCTCGGTGTATGTGCTCAGTAAACCTTCTCTAAAAGTTTTCACTGGTGACAATCAACTCGGGGCCTTCATGGTCGAGAGGTTACGGTGTTCACCTCTCATTCAAAAGGTCCCGGGTTCGAATCCGGATAATGAAGAAAAATTTTCTTCTCTACAGTCTTCTCCTCTCACTTCCTTTCCTGCTTCCCAACAATGTTCTGTCATCTGCTTTCGTCTCTACCTTCTGCCCCCAACCCCTCATCTCCTTTTCCCCCCTCCTCTGAGCAGCCTTTCTACGGCTACTCCTTGGCTCCTTCTTACTAGTCTTTCAGTTACACCCCTGATCTTATGGTAAGTAAGGTTTAATGCCTAGCCTTCTCGGATAAGGGTAAAAAATCTTGGGAGGTCTAATGTGCAAGTTACGCACATTAAAGATCCCTTGGTGGTCCAAAATCGACAAGAGTAGACTTCTGTCGCCACCCGCGAAAAATTCAAAATTTCCTACCAACTGAAAATGTTTAATGTGTCCCGCGCGCTTCATACAACCTATGCAGTTGTGAGTGCCATAAAACACTTACCATAAAAAAATCTACTTGTACCGTCTCTCTTTCACAAAAAAAAATTCTCTCAAATTGCGCACAGACATATAATATGATTTCACATGGAAAGTTGAAAACAGTATGAAAAATACCTTATAAATATTCCTACATTAACTTAACGTTTGCAGCATTTTCCCGACTTCTGTCAGTTGATACCGTTGATACCGTAGACTACCGGCTCAAAACAAAACCCTATTTTCATGGACATTCAGACAAAACTGAGTGAAAAAGAAATCATATATATATGCACAGCTCAACATGCCAGGTGTTCCTATTCAACCTGCTACATACAAAAAAAATTAACCAGGACGCAGTGAAGTGAAGGCATCTTCAAGTTCTTTGTATGTCATTGCTGTGCTAAACTTTGTATGATATGAGATTGGTGTTTGAAAAAGTTAACGCAGTAGTGAAAAAAATAAGCCTGAGTATCGGTTTAATGCCTCTTTTAACACTGTGTATGGTTATTTAAGAGGTGGGACCTCCAAACTGAACATCCATCTCTCTAGACTGAGCCAAATGAGAAAGATAATTTTAAGTGTCTTTTCCAAGGACACGTCAGACCGAGCTGACACTTGAACCCCCAGACCCACAATTCCATGGATTACGAGTTCAATAGCCTAACAAAGACTAATGGGCGCTTTTTCGGTAGTTCTCACCCCCCCCCCCCCTTTATTTGGGCATCTAGATCTAGAGCTAGATCTATGGTTGATGCGCGGCGAGCAAGAGATATCAAACCTAACAACTGGAAAACATCAAATTATGATAACTCCCCAACATATATTTTTATTTGGTCAGGAGGGCAACCTGAAACCACCCTACTCTTCGGGCCAAAACCGGCAATATAACAAGGGGTGGGAACTACTGAAAAAGTGTCGACTAATTATGCCAAAATTTTTGCAAGGTTGTTACAGAATAGTCAAAGCATTTATCTAGCTTTTGAAATTAGGCATACTTCACGTTAATGTCTCTCTAGAAGTCAGTAACTAATATTTTTTAAAATGAAAATCTCAATATGTGTCACAACGCAGTGGAGTCAGGCGCTCGTCAACTTTTGGGGATATAATGGAGTTATTGGTATCATCTTAAAGGCAGTTTATTTGCCTTGCTTTCGATGAAAAAAATCTTGAAAAGAAGTCAAGATATTTGCGATTGAAGGTGGGGTCATCTGATTTCAGAGGTAAAATTAGCGAGAAAATGGGCCTCCAAAGTTAGGCAACTTCTACAGCTAGAGTCCTTGGAAACTGCAAATTTAAATTTGTGTGCCTTTAATCAAAGTTTTTCGATCAAATCCACACATTTTTGAATGGACATACAAGGTGTTGAGCCAAAAAGCAAAAATTTTAAATTTTTTAACAGTCCAAAAGATGCCGATTTCTCGGATTTCATTTTGACGAGCGCCTGATTTCACCACGATGCCTCATGTCTTTGTGAAGTAGTGTTGAAGGAAATATTTTCCCATTGTGTGCAGATGTTTGTCAGCTTTTCAAAGATAAATTTAACAGTCAGACAAGATCTGAATCATAGTATTATAAATAAAACTCAATATTCCTGCAAATCTTCTTTCCTAAAGTTTTACAAAAATAGGTTTGAATATTACCTAAAAGCCACAATGCTACTGAATTATTAAGTTACTAGAACTATCTTTGCCCTCTCATGTCTCTTAGACTAAGACTGAAGGGGGTACACAGTAACAGTGAACAGGCTGTAACTCAAGTAACCAGAGCCAGAGGTTTTTAAATTTTATACTGACATCCACATGGCACATTCGTAAACCAACATTCAAGCATGCATGCCTCTCAGGTTCAAATTCAAAGTTTGACAGTGCCATTCTCTCACTCAAGTATGCCAAGATACCTAAGGCCTTGCGATGAGGACCAGAAGCAATACTTTTAGGCCAGCTCTATTCTGACTAGAGTCCAAATTTAATTTTTATCTATTCGGACTCTCGGACTCGAGTCCGAATACGTGTTTTTTCTATAAATGGACTCGGGTCCAATAAAAAAATGTTTCATTTATATCGAACTCAGCTTCGAAGTGAATTTATGTGAGTGTAAGGAGGTTACATAATATTTTATAACTGTCGTCGGGGGATTTATGTAAAACCAGAATTAGAACTAGAATTGCCTACTAGATCTAGTAGTATTAAGTAAGGACTGTGTGTAATTGTGTCAAAAGTCAAAAGACTGCACTCTCACTATCCAATGGCAGTGTCTAAGTACACGTAACCGACAACTCAGGGTCTTTCCACCACCACTACAGCATCATCACTACTTCCACCACCATATGTCTTTCCACATATATATGTTTAATTCGACTTTGTTGAGTGTTATATTTTTTCCGTACTGTAGGCCTTTAATTAGGCATATTTTCTTTTATCACATCGCAAAAAAAACGACAGCCATGGCCTCTTCCCAGCACCTCTTCTCCCAGCAAGCCCAGAGCATGTGATCGCTACGCACAGTCTCATTGGTCGACATAATTAACTTTGCTCGCGGCAAGGTCAGCTCAACTTTTTCCTTCTGTTAGATCTATACTAATGATGAAGGGAGGGCTAGTTTAGATAGATCTAGATCTAGGCTAGATCTAGGTCTAGATTCTAGATCTAGATCTAGATCTACATCTAGTAACTGGATATTAAAGCTCACGTCTCGACTGTTATCAACATTATAATCGAAAAAATGTTCGTAAATGCGGGAAATATTTAGGAACAAGATCGGAAGTCGGAACGGACGTCATGCTGGACTCAATTCAGAGTCCGAATATAATTTTTGTCTATTCGGACTGTCACTTCGCTACTTTTTTTAGCCCCTCTCAACAATGGTCTTGAGTCAAAGATTCAAGACATCAGGGCAGTTGAATCAAGGGGTCAAGCAGTCAAATAGTCACCAGTATCACTCAGTCTGCAGGGCTCCCCTTTACGCACATTTGTGCGTATATTACCCCTTAAACCTGCAAATTACCCCCCTTAAAGTTTTGGTGGTGCGTGAGCTTTACTCTTTAAAATTTCGTTTCGGGGATTTGCATACGCTTTAAAACTCCGGTAGTGTGTGTCATTGCAATCATCATTTTCCCCCTTCTCTACCCCGAAGCCGAGTCAATGATTTAACTACACACCCACACACATAACACCGCAGTCACCTTTTATCTGGGACTCTGTATCAGAAGCAGAAGACCTAGAATCTACTCATCAGCTGCGCGCAGTTCCCGGCGACACTGGCTTGCTTGAGCACAGAAGCTCCGCCCACATTGTGGTCGCTCGCATTAAATTTGCCGGTGTCGTGCCTTGAGTTTACCACTGCCGTGAGATTACCCCCATCCTTCTTTAACACACTAGATCTAGTAAACATGAATTGTCCACCACCGAACGACTGGGATGGCTCTGAAGAATAAGGAATTAGTTTATTTTCCAAACCTGCCACTCATCCCGATGTATTCGGGATATCCAGATTTTTTGCCCCAAATTTCCAAGCATCTCGATTTTCCCAATGTTGATCCCGCGTATTTGGATTAAAAAATTTTTTTTTTGGTTCCGTCTGTTGTGCCGGATTTTCAAAAAAATCTTACTCTGCCTTCTTATCTGTAGTGGGAAGCACTCGTTAAACTTTTTGTCAGCAGAAACTCGAAGCACTATTTTCCTAAATGTCTATGTCGAATTTAGTTGTTGTGTTGGATCTTTGCACGCCAGTGTTGTTTCAAGAAACATGTGTAATGGAAGTAGTATTGGTTGGGAATTCCGACTTGGGACATTCTCAAGACCTAGGCCCTAAATCATACTCATTTTCGCTTTTATTTTTGTTTCAACTCAGAATTCTCCGACGATGGCCTGACTGATAGCTGTTTAGTTTAAATTGCGACGCACAAATGACCAATATTATTCGTAGTTCTGCTATTACTTTCAAAACAAGCTTTATCCGAGTTCTGGTTAGCCTGGCTCGTCATCAAGACCCGTCAGTAAAACTCTTTCAATCGCGCTTTCGCACCACGTGACATGTCTCTGACCAAATTGAGTTCTGCGTGTGTCGTGGACCGTCCGTTTACAGGGTCAATTTAAGTTCATGCACACCGGCTGAAGCGTCTTTCGGGACTTATCTAGGACAGCTTGACGTGATACTTCAGGATTTTTAAAAAATAATGGTAAAACACACACAGGCACGGGTACGCACACGCACAC